ACCCTCGACGGAGGAGGGGGGAGGTGTGTGGGGGAGGGCGGGTCGAGAATACAGCAAAACACAGCTAATGACGACAACGACGACAAAGAGAAATGTCTGTAGTATAATTACAAAAAAGGAAAAGTGCACTATTATGACAACGATTATTATTGCCTGTGAGAAATACTGACCAATAAACAACAATGGAAATATGTTGAAGTGTTTGTGTCATTATTTGTAGTTTTGGATAAAATCCCCAAATCCATAATGTAGTTCACCGTCATCGGGAAATATATTTTCTTGCTGCAGTAACGTTGAGGTTTTTATCCGCGTGAACATCACGACTAAAGGTTTCATATCCATCCCAGGCTCACGCTGCCTCCTCCAGTCTTCTTCCTCCTCTGCTCCCATCTCATGTTGCTTCATCACACCGGGCCACCATCTCCAGAAGCTCGTCTTCATCACCGTGATTCGCTGGACGTCCCACAAGACCATGTCCCAGTTGTCCAGCGATCGTTATGTTTGCTCAGATCCTCCATTGTTTTCCCGCTTCGGACACATCAACCTCCTGAGCGTTAAATTTACTTCCCGCCTTATTTCTCTCGCCCGGCGCTGCAGGGTCGAACCATTGAGAGTGTTGTTGTTGTTTGTCAGGTCGGTGCGGTGGTCTCAACACAGTATACGTGAGATTTTGGATATTTAGATTGTGCGTAGTACTTTTGCTGTAATATTTTCACCTGCACTCTCCCAGAGTAACATCTGTACATACGCCTGAGTGTATCTTATGATGTATAACACATCACGTCAGCTGCGTCCTGCGGAGAGGAAGGGGCGTCACCACTGTATTCATCAGAACGACTGTGTGATGTTTTTGTTTGTGCTGAAAATCGTTCTCAGTTCGTGTTTATTTAGCTTTGGGTCGTCTGGAAGTTGGAGCTGCGGCCTCCAGACCGAACAGGAAACAGGGAGGAAGCAGAGGCCCTGCAGTGAAGTCGCCCCCAGAAGAGACGGAAGATAAAACCAGTTCAGTGTGATTATGAACCTGTCCTTGTCTCCTACATCGGAGTGGACCAGGAGCTGCAGCAGCTCTCGCCCTGTTTGACCTGTTGGTTCTTCACATCCTCATTTCTGGGATGGGTTTTTTTTTTTTTAAACAAATATTTCCTCCATGTGTCAGAGGAGGCTGGGCTCCATCTGTGACGTCACACGGAGGAGAGAAAAAAAAAAAGGACAGAGCTCTCACTCCGACTTTTTAATTTTCAAGGATTTGTCTCAGAGCACCAGAAGCATCTTTTTCTTTTTTTTGTTGTTGTATTTGCATTGTTGACGTCATGTTTGCAAAGGAGGTGGGACACCACGCTGTATTGTTGACCTTTGACACACACACACACTTGAATTCCATAAAACTTCCCACATCTTTACGCAGATATCGTTTATAAAAGTACATATTAAAGTAAATATTGAAAGTTAGATAATGTGTGTGTGCAGAAGCAACTGTGATTCATCATTTATTTTTTATTTTACATTGTTGTTGGGCTCATTCTATTTGACCTAAATGTTCGGTTTCCTCCAAATACTTAAATAAAGTTGTTTAAAACTCTTAAAAGCTTGATTGAAGGGAACTACTCTCAATGATTAAAAGATTAATTTAACCACAACCATGAATTAGTGTTATTAATAATCACCTACATTCATTAATGATATTTACTTAATGTCAGGTATGACTGCAGGCGTGGACCTCAGCTCCTCCCGACGCCTTCATAAGCAGGGCCTCCGCTCTCTGTGCTCCTCCTGCATGTAGTGACACATCCTGTTCCCGTGGACCCATCTTCGCAGGGTGGTGGTGCTGGTCGTCAGAGGAAGAGCCTCCTGCACCGAGAACAACAGGAAGGGGTTCGAACTCACGGCTGCGTCTGAATCCTCCGCGGAAAAACTCCTCCGGACGCTTCAGGTAGAGTCTTCTCCTCCTCCTCCTCCTCCTCTTCTTCTTCTTCTTCTGGGTCGAGATCTTTCTTCACTTTCATTTTTATTCTCTGCTTCGTGCTCGACGCTCGTGCACGGCGCGGTGCGTGGGGATGGTGCTGAGCATGAATGGAGCTGTGTGTGTGTGTGTGTGTGTGTGTGTGTGT